CTATCTATCATCTATCTATCTATCTATCTATCTATCTATCTATCTATCTATCTATCTATCTATCTATCTACTATCTATCATCTATCTATCTATCTATCTATCTATCTATCTATCTATCTATCTATCTATCTATCTATCTATCTATCTATCCAGAGAAAGAGCTTGCATCCTTTATTTCTTCATTTATTTATTTGTATTTTTATTTTGGACAATAACAAGTGTTACTTACATTTTTAACAAATCCTACGAAATCGAAATTCCTTTTCACTGTGGTTTTCTTCAGTGTCATTATTTCATTATAAAATATTATCAGTTTAAGTTTTAAAACACAATATAGACTGCGGTAGCTATTAGTTTTCATGAAAACAAACATATTACTGAGCTTTCGTCATCTATTATCACTGACATTTTAAAAAGATAGTATTACATTTTATACCGACCTAGTGCCTGTTTTGAAGTGTTTCGATCACTCTTAGGTTAAGAGAGCTCATTCTCAGCGGTTCATTCAAAGCGGAAGTCATTTTAACCAATGGCTGAATAAATGATCCTAAAAATAACAGTGTTGACATATGGCCACAAATTGAGTTTATGCTCGTTATTTGTCATATAAGCCTGTGATGACTTAATTCGCACAGAAGCGGCAGGCATCATGGGAGAGCAGCGGAGTCCTGATGAGAAGCTCCAGCTCATCACCAGGAACCTTCAGGTGAGAAACAGCAGGGGAGGAGATTAAGAGATTCCAAAATAACTTGTAACCGCTCAAAAGCGTGTCGCGTGACAGACACAGTGATGAAGCTGGTATGTGTTTGCAGTACACAAGCCACGGTTAAGACAGCTGACTCCACTGTAATGTGTCTCTCTCTCTCTCTCTCTCTGTCTCTCTCTCTCGCGCGCTCTCTCTCTCGCTCTCGCGCTCGCTCTCTCTCGCTCTCGCGCTCGCTCTCTCTCTCTCTCGTGCTCTCTCGCGCTCTCTCTCTCTCTCTCGCGCGCAGTTGACATATGGCCACAAATTGAGTTTATGCTCGTTATTTGTCATTTAAGCCTGTGATGACTTAATTCGCACAGAAGCGGCAGGCATCATGGGAGAGCAGCGGAGTCCTGATGAGAAGCTCCAGCTCATCACCAGGAACCTTCAGGTGAGAAACAGCAGGGGAGGAGATTAAGAGATTCCAAAATAACTTGTAACCGCTCAAAAGCGAATCAGCTTGTAACACTCCAAAGAGAAAGGAAAACTTGAAATCGCATCATATGATCCCTTTAAACGCTGTAGGTATGAATTTCAAACAATTACAATGGATGATAATTGACCAAAGAGCATGGCTTTTAGGAAGTGTTAGTCATTCATTGTTCTGGGAAACAGATTGTATTAGATTAGATATTTTTATTTGACATTTTACCATTAATAAAAATATGTTTGCAGTTGTTGTACTTTAATAAGAAGGTGGCAACTGTTTTGTGTGGTTGATCTATTATAGAGAGTACACTCTGGATGTTTACCGACTGTCATCCATGGTAACTGAACATGATGCCAAGAAAGCAGGTGCTGAGGTGGTCAAACAGGTTGAGCATCCTCTTCTGAGTGGCCTGCTGTATCCTGGACTACAGGTATGCAGATCATCTTCTGCTAGCATTATCCTCATATTTGTGGTCTTCTAGTCTGTATGTATTTGTTTTACTTAATCATTTGAACTTGGAGTCTATTTTCAAAACCTGCTTATTTTTTCTTATCGGTGCAAATGCCAGTATACAACTTATTAAAAAGATGTTGCTTATGTATTTCTACACTACTGTTATTTATTTATTTGGAAAGAAATTAATACTTTCAGTAAGGGTGCTTTGAATTGATCAAAAGTGACAGTAAAGACATTTACACCATTAGAAAAATATTTTTACACATTTGTTTATTTTAAACTTAATATTCTTCCACAAAAATATTAAACGGCAGAACTGTTTCCAACATGTTTTTCATTTCTATCAGGCACTGGATGAGGAGTACTTAAAAGTAGATGCTCAGTTCGGGGGTGTGGACCAAAGGAAGATCTTCACATTAGCAGAGAAGGTACTTTTGTTTTGCATATTTCTTATTCCATATATTTGGAAAGAAATTAATACTTTCAGTAAGGGTGCTTTGAATTGATCAAAAGTGACAGTAAAGACATTTACACCATTAGAAAAATATTTTTACACATTTGTTTATTTTAAACTTAATATTCTTCCACAAAAATATTAAACGGCAGAACTGTTTCCAACATGTTTTTAATTTCTATCAGGCACTGGATGAGGAGTACTTAAAAGTAGATGCTCAGTTCGGGGGTGTGGACCAAAGGAAGATCTTCACATTAGCAGAGAAGGTACTTTTGTTTTGCATATTTCTTATTCCATTTGACGTTTTTAAACTTAATGTGCAACTATGCAGTACAGTCATGGCCAAAAGTTTTGGCAGTGACATAAATTGTGTTTTGCGAAGTTTGCTGCTTAAGCTGTTGTGGTGTTCATTCACATTGTTTCTAGATTATTGTGTAGAGTGAACACATGCATTTTAATTAATTCCTAAAAGCTTCATTGGCCAAAAAAAACAAATGTCACTGTTTTTTGATCCTGACACAAAATGACCAGCTAACATTAGTTGACTAATCATATCAGCAGCACATGTGAAAGTGTGAATGAGTAGTAGTCAGGTGAAATCACTATCATACTAATTAGATCGTAAGAGCAGACTGATTGCTATAAAAGGAGAGAAGTGCTTTCAATCATTGTGTTCTTGTTAGCAATGATTACCTCCAAAGAAACCCGTGCAGCCATTATCGCTTTGCATCAAAATGGCCTCACATGCAAGGAAATTGCTACAAAGAATATTCCACCTGAAAGAACCATTTACCGGCTCATCAAGAACTTCAAGGCGAGAAGTTTGACTGCAGTGAAGAAGTCTTCAGGACGTCTCAGTGTCCAGCAAGCGCCAGGACGTCTCCTCCTGAGGAGTCTGCTACGGAATCGTGTCACCAGCAGTGCAGAGCTTGCTCAGGAATGGCAGCAGGTTGGTGTTTCAATCATTGTGTTCTTGTTAGCAATGATTACCTCCAAAGAAACACGTGCAGCCATTATCGCTTTGCATCAAAATGGCCTCACATGCAAGGAAATTGCTACAAAGAATATTCCACCTGAAAGAACCATTTACTGGCTCATCAAGAACTTCAAGGCGAGAGGTTTGACTGCAGTGAAGAAGTCTTCAGGACGTCTCAGTGTCCAGCAAGCGCCAGGATGTCTCCTCCTGAGGAGTCGGCTACGGAATCGTGTCACCAGCAGTGCAGAGCTTGCTCAGGAATGGCAGCAGGTTGGTGTGAGAGCATCTGCACGCAGTGAG